CTGAGGGTTTTACAGGGGAGGGGTTGGGGGGATGGGTTAGCCCAGTGATGGGTATTAAGGAGGGCACATATTGCATGGAGCACTGAGTGTTATACGCAAACAATGAATCATGGAACGCTACATAAAAAAAATAATTAAAAAGTCCACAGTGCTGCTAAAAAATCCATCATAGCTGCATTTTCCTTCAGGTGTTCCCTCCAGACATCCATATACTGGCCTGGGCTTCTCTCGAACCCTGTTTCAGTACTAGGTTCAGCTGTCTTGAGAAGACTTACTGCTATTTTTTTCCTTTATGCTGATTTAGATATTGTAACCATGAATTATGTGGTTCAGAGGTATGTTGGCACATATAATTTCAGAAACTTGTGTAAAGTGGATGTAACCAATGGAATGATTAATTTTCAGTGGACTTTCTTTCTGCTTAAGTACAGCTAATAGACCAGAGCCTGAGTGAGGAGAGACAGAACTAAACTGCAAGAACCTTTTTAGTTATTTCAGTTTGCAGTGATTGACCAGAGAGTCCTTTATCATTAAGCCTGTTGTATGATGGTCTTTCTGATTGGCCAAGGAATGGAGAGGCCAGAGTTTATTGATGAACCAATGAACATAGATGAAAAATCCCCAGAAACCTCAATACAGTATGGATGTAGAATTTTCTCTAGTCTTATATGACTTTAAATTTGAAAATATCAAGTGGATCTATGACTGGGAGAGTCAGGATTTCAATGTGACCCACCTTAACAATATAGACTAAAAGTGCTGTTAAGATTCACATGTGTTGTATTCTGCAAAGACTGGACTCTGTTGCAATACCCAAAAGGACATTTGCAGGACCAAAGATGGATGGAGTGACAGATGGCCCTCTGTCACAAAGCAGACCTGTGCCTTTGTAGTAGGAGTGAAAATGCATACATAAGAAGTCCCTGATAGATCATCATAAATGTCAAGGATAGGAATCCCAATCCAGCCTTTTATAATTAGGGGATGCATTGAGCACCCATATTTATTTCATTGGGGGAAAAAATAAAAACCAAAAGGAACTGTAATAATATACTAGAGGAAGAAAATACTACCTTGGAGAAAACAACAAAGAGGTTCTGTGTTGATACAGAAATTAAAAGCATTATTTATCTATAGACAACTAGCAACAACCAGCTAGTGGTAGGTAGGTAGAAAGGAAATATAAACAAAATATTTACTGTAAGAAGTCCTAGAAATTCAGATGATCAGCTCTTAAAAAAAAGTCATAAAGTCCTATTAAGGAAGTTCTTGTTGCTTAAATAAGAACAAGTTTAAAGATTTTCTTATCACTGTCCAAAAAGATTGAAGTAGAAGAAGCAAAAAACAATTGTAAAATGGAGATATATTTATGTACACCTGGAAACTGTGCCTTGTGTTCAAATTCATTAAAGCTTGATCATGCAAGTGTCAAGAAAGAAATAAAATGGGCTACAGACATGAATAGAAATTTCAATGAAGATATACAGATAGCAAATGAACACATAAAAAGATGTTCAACATTAACCATCAGTGAATTCAAATGAAAACTTCAATGGGGTATCACTATACAGGCACCAGAATGACTTAACAATTTTTTGTTTAATGATAACACCAAATGCTGGTGAGAATGCAGAGAAACTATCATTCAGAGATTGCTGGTGGGAATATAAAATGGTATAGCCACTTTGGGGGAGGTGGGGAAAAGCATGGTAGTTTCTTACAAAACTAAGCTTGCTGTTGCCACATGACCCAGTAGTTGCTCTTGGACATTTATCTCTGAGAAATGAAAACTTTAAGATCACAGATAAACCTATCCAGGAATGATTGTATCAGCTTTATTTGTAATTCCAGAAATCAAAACCAAAATGTCCTTCAATAAACGAGTGGTTTAACAAACTCTGGTACATTCACACTATGCAATATTGCCCAACAATAAAGGAAAAAAACCCATTGATACAACAGCTTGAATGGATCTCAAGGGATTTATGCTGAATGTAAAAGCCGATCACAAAAAGTTACATACTGAATGATTCTATTTATGTAACATTCTTGTAATGACAAAATTATGGAGATGAGCAAATTACTGGCTTCCAGGGGTGAGGGAGGACGTGGCTGTGGTTGTAAATGAATAGCAAGAGGAATCCTTATTATGGAACTTTTCTGTATCTTGACTACAGTGGTAGTCACAGGAAACTACGCAGGTGATAAAATTGCACAGAACTACACACACACACACACACACACACACACACTAGTGCATGTATAACTGGTGAAATCTGAATAAGGTAAATAGATCATAGCAACCTTACCTTCCTGATTTTGATATTATACTATAGACATGCAAGATGTTACCACTGGAGGCGGGGGCAAGGTTAAGGGTATAAGGCATGTTTCTATTTCTTGCAACTGCATGTAAATTTATAATCTCAAAATTAAAAAAAAATGAAACTAAAGCAACTTTGGAGCATCCTTTAAATCCTACTAAATTCTCGGGGCACCTGGGTGGCTCAGATGGTTAAGCGTCTGCCTTCAGCTCAGGTCATGATCCCAGGGTCCTGGGATCGAGCCCCACATCGGGCTCCTGGCTCAGCAGGAAGCCTGCTTCTCCTTATCCCTCTGCTCTCCCCCTGCTCATGCTCTCTCTCTCTCTCTCTCTGTACCTCTGTGTCTCAAATGAATAAATAAAAAATCTTAAAATAAAATAAATGCTACTGAATTATCAACAAAACAATCATAACCTAAAAATGTAATATTGATGTATGCAAGAACATTGATGGTTCTCATGGTAATTATAATGAGTGAAAGAAGCTGGAAAAAATTAGTATGGTTTACATTTTGTAGCATTTTATACTGATGGAATCAATACAATCCATAGAGCTAACAAGCAAATCAGTAGTTATCTGAGGATGGGGGTACAGGGAGAGATAGGAGGAGGGAGCAACTACCAAGGGGCAGGAGGAAACTTGGGGGTGATGGATATGTTCTCTTAAAATTGTGGTGATGGTTTAATGGTGTATACATAGGACCAACCTCCTCAAGCTGTCACTTTAAGCATGTGCAATTATTATATGTCAATTGTACTTTAATAAACTCATTTACAGTGATAGTCTCTTCAGAAAAAAGAACAACTTTGAGAGAACAAAAATAAAAGATCGTCTCCCCTCCAAATACGTTTAGAATTCTCTGTAGACAATGCCCTCCTTTATTGCCTGCACTGAAGGCAGACTGTTCCCATTGCCCTGCCTTGGAAAGTCACTGCTCCACCCTAAATTTCTTAAGAAAGTGGGCTAATCAGTGTTGGGTTTGTGGCTTCCAATCACCAATATTTTCATCTTTAGGGTGCTTTTAGTAATTTTCATTAGGGTGAGATTTTTGGCTCTTCTGAGGACTACTAGTTGTTGAGGTTATAGGGTAAAATGTAACAAACACCACCCTGGGGTTGGTGGCCTGGAAGTTATTTCTTGTTCAGCTTTGGGGATGGTACTGCCACCCACACACCTCACCCCATATAGGCTCTGGCAATCTACACTTTGACGTCATTCTTCCCTGCCGCCCCCACCTCCCAAAGGCAAAAACACCAAGCCCTTTCTCATTTTGCCCGTTAGGTCAAGTGTTAAGGAGGAAATTTGTCTTCAGTGCTCAGTCCTGACCCAGTCTTTATCCCCACGATCTGATTAACTGTGGTTCTGCCAGTCTGGCCCGGTCTGGCCCCCAACCCTACGCTACCCCATGTTTCTTCCTTTTTGTACTACTGCCTCTTCCCTTCCCTCCCTGATCCCACCATGAGAGAAGTCATAGACACCCACACGAATTACCACAACAGGTTGGCTTTATTTCAGGTACCATCAGTGTACCCTGATGCTGTAAAATTCAATGTCTACATGATTGTCCATTTCTCAGCCACCAGACCTCTGGAGACTTAGCAGATATTACTGAAGTCTCTGGCCTCACTCTGGAGTTATTGGCCACCCTGGTCATCGTTTGATGTGGTAGACTTCCTCACCTTCTCTTGGGCTTGCTCTGGCTCATCTTGCCTCAGTGTCTCATTCAGTCTGTGATAGTGACCAAAGAGTGGTGGTCTTCTAGATTTTTTAGGCTTTCTTACAGGGTTGGTAGTTTTTTCTGAGACTTTTTTACTCGAACTCCTGTGGTGGGGTTTTTTTACCTTCAGGGTTGTCTTCAGTACCTGGAACAACAACAGAGTGAGGCCAAAAGGGCATTGGCTTAGGGGAAGAAGATGGGATATTGATAGAAAAGGGGGCATCATGAGGAGATGTCAGGGCTAAGGAAGGAGTTTGTGCCAGGTGAGCAAAGGTTAAGATTCTTGGGGGAGGGGAAATCAATGAAGAAAAGAGTAGCTTGGGTAGGGTCATCTTACCTTGTCACCACCTCTGGACCTGGGTTGATAGGGAGTCTTCATCTTTTTCCTCTCTTCAGACCTTGAAGTTGGTCGCTCCATATCCTGATTGGGCTGTGGTAGTTTCCTGGTTACCTTAGACATATTGAAGCTTCCCAGTTGTTTGCCCCAGGCCTCCTAACTGTTCTACTGCGTATAACTCTTCCCAGGACAATGAAGGTCCATACCCTCCAGCTTTGATTGGTCAGCTAGGCTGTCCTCCAGCCAATGGTGGCTAAGGTGGGGCTCAGACATCACAAAGCACTACTTATGACATCACTCTGTGTTGGGGAGGTTGCTAGGGAGGCCAAAATGTGGCTCTGACATTTCAAAGTACCATTCCTGACACCTCTGGATGGGAGGGGAAATGATACGGAGGCAAAAATGGTTTGGTTAGAGAAAGGAGGCTTTTCTTTAACATCCCCCAAAGAGTTTTCCTAAACTGAACTACCACTGTTCCTCATACCCCATGTTCAATTGTGGTAGTGCACATAGTAGAGAAAGAATCTTTCCTGCAATCTGTTCTCTAAGGCCACCCCTACTCAGCAGTTTATTTTGCTGTGTCCCTCCCTTAGTTAGCTAGTGTTTGGGATATTTTACCTAAAATCCCTCCAAGAGCAATATGGCTGAATTTAAATATCAGTGGAAATATGACTCATCTTACAAACTAACAAAAAGCTCCCATGAATAAGCTCTCTGCCTATAGCATTTGGCATTAAAGGCTGCTGATTTGATTAGATTATTTTCTGCCAGCTCTGTGACTTACAGGCAGGGATTAGAATTAGCTGCCCACCCATGAAGGTTGCTTTTATCTTTTATTCTATTTTTGGACTCTGACCATGTTATTGTCATTGAGTTTTGCAAGGTTCTTTCTCTTATATTTTATTTATATTTTATCTTTATATTTTATCTGTTTTTCTTCTTCCTAGATTCCAACACTCATTTCCTTCCTGCCATTAGGCATCAACTCTGATGTGTTTGAATTATGTCCTTGCGTATATTTGTACTCTTGTGAAATATGTGGCCTTCTTAAATATGTGGTGTTTGAATGCATAGCATTGTGCCGTAGATCTTATTTCTTAACTTATACACTCACCATTATGTTCTTTAAGTTCGACTTATGTGGCTATATGTATCTTTAGCTCATTCCTTCTAATGCTGCATCATATTCCATTAGCATTTATGCACCAAGTTTTGCTTGTCCATTATTTCCCCTTTTGAGGAACACCTGTGTTAGCTCTCCACTCCATTCCTACAAACAATGCTGTGAAGAACATCCTCAGTCATTTTCCCTCATGGACTTCTGCATATATTTCTCTGGGATATACACTCAAGGATAGAATTTCTAGGTCTTAGATACACATAATTCTTAGTCCATTTGGGCTACTGTAACAGAATACCATAGATTGGCTGGCTTAAACAAAAAACATTTATTTCTCACAGTTTTGGAAGCTGGAAGTCCAAGATTAAGATGCTAGCATGGTTGGGTTCTTGATGAAGACCCTCTTCTTATGTCCTTACACCCTTGATGGGTGAGAAAGAGAGCGCTATCTCCTCTTTTTTTAAAATAGGGCATTAATTACATTATTAGGCCCCATTCTCATGACCTATTCTAACCCTAATAACCTTCCAAAAGCCCCACCTCCAAATACTTTCACACTGGGGATTAGAGCTTCAACATGTGAATTTTAGAGAGACACAGACATTCAGTATATAAGCAATAATTTTGCTAATTATTGCCAGATTGCTTTCCAAAATGTACCAATCTAGCTTCCCAATAGAATTATATTATTACCTGTTTCCCTACACACTCACTAATACTTGGTATGGAAGGCAACTTCTGATATGGCTCCCAATGACTCCAGCCTTCTGATGTTTACACTTTTGTGTAATCCACTACCCTTGAGTGTAGGATATATCTAGTGACTTGCTTCTAATGAATAGAATCCATAGAAACCAGCAGAAGTAGTGGGATGTTATTAGTTATTAACATAATGAGGTTTCCTCTTACTATAACTTTTTTGCTGACAATCTCTCTTGCCCTCTCATTTTCTCATTCTGATGAAAGCATATTGTGAGATAATCAGTGAAAAGGCTCACATCTCAAGGAACATCTCTTGAGGAACTGAGCCTTCTGTGCAACAAACCACAAGGAACTGAATCCTATCAACAACCTCATTTGTGGACGGGGAATTTGGTCCTTTCCAAATGGGACTTGAGACGATGTAGCCTTGTAAGAGACCCAGGGCCAGAGGACCCAGCTAAGGTACCCACAGGTTCCTGACCCATAGAAACTCTGAGATAATAGATTTTGGTGTTTTAAGCCACTACTTTTTGGGGTAATTTTTTTACACAGCAAATGATAACTAATACTTAGTATTATCCAAGTTTTAATTTTTAAAGAAATTTGATTGATAACACAATCTCCTTTTACTTCTGTGATTACTAGTGATGAATCTATTCAGATTTTCTATCTTTAAAATTGTTTTTTGGTTACTAACATTTCTCATTCTTGGATTTCTTGTCTTTTTCATGTTGATTCCATCATTACTTTGTAATTTTTTGATATTAATTCCTTGTTAGTGAACTTTGTCTTTGATATACTTTGAACATAAATCCTTGATGTTTATCCAATTTTGTTATTCTCAACATACTTTTCCTGCACCATCTGATATGTGGTGATATCTTTATCATATACCTTTTAATTTTAGGGGGTATTCATTGATCATGGCCTCCAGTACTAGGTTGAATGTAGAGGCAATATCAGATATTTATATCCTGAAGGTCATGTGCCTAATGTGTTAACAGTAATTAGGAGAGGTTTTGTTTGTTTTTGCTGTGGAGACTTAATCATGTTAAAGAAGTTTCTAACTGTTCTCAGTTTTTGGAAAAAGCTTTTTAAAAAACCATAAGAGACTCTTAACTCTAGGAAACAAACTGAGGGTTGCTTGAGGAGAGGTGGGTGGGGGGATGGGGTAATTGGGTGATGGGATTTAAGGAGGACACTTGATGTAATGAGCACTGGGTGTTATATGCAACTGATGAATTACTAAATTCTACCCCTGAAACTAATAATACAGTATATGTTAACTAAATTGAATTTGTTTATTTTTAAAGATTTTATTTACTTATTTGACAGAGAGAGAGAGAGTGAGAGAGAGAAAGCGAGCACAAGCAGGGGGAGCACCAGAGGGAGAGGGAGAAACAGGCTCTCCGCTAAGCAGGGAGCCTAATACATGACTCGATCCCAGGACCCTGGGATCATGACCTGAGTCGAAGGTAGACGCTTAACTGACTGACCCACCCAGGTGCCCCGGCTAAATTGAATTTAAATAAAAAGTTTAAAAAATAGTCATGTGTCTGAAAAGATATTCATCATCACTTATCATAAGGGAAATGCAAATCAAGACTACAATGAGATAGCCCCTCATACCTGTAGGAATGGCTAAAATCAACAAGAAACAACAGGTTTTGGTGAGGATGTAGAGAAAAAGGAACCCTTATGCACTGTTGGTGGGAATGCAAACTGGTGCAGTCACTGTGGAAAACCACATGGAGTTTCCTCAAAAAGTTAAAAATAGAATTATCATATGATCCAGCAATCACACTACAGGGTATTTATCCAAAGAATATACAAAAACAGTAATTCAAAGGGATACATGCACCCGTGTTTATAGCAACATTATTTACAATAGCCAAATAATGGAAGCAGCTCAAGTACCCATCGATTGATGAATGGATAAAGAAGATGTAGTATATGTATACAATGGAATATTATTCAGTCATAAAAAAGAATGAAATCTTGCCATTTACAGTGACATGGATGGAGCTAGGGTATAATGCTAAGCAAAATAAGTCAGAGAAAGACAAATACCATATGATTTCATTCACGTGGAATTTAAGAAACAAACCAAAGGAGCAAAGGGTAAAAAAAGAAAGCAAGAGAAGCAAAGAAACAGACTTTTAACTATAGAGAACTAACTGATGCTTACCAGAGGGGAGGTGGGTAGGGGGATGGGTGAAATAGATGAAGGGGATTAAGAGTACACTTATCTATGTGCTCTGGTAAGCGCTGTGAATTGTGCAAGACTGTTGAATCTCAGATCTGTACCTCTGAAACAAATAATGCAATATATGCTAAGAAAAAAAAAAAAAGAAGAAGGTAGCGGGAGGGGAAGAATGAAGCGGGGGAAATCGGAGGGGTGGACGAACCATGAGAGACGATGGACTCTGAAAAACAAACTGAGGGTTCTAGAGGGGAGGGGGGTGGGAGGATGGGTTGGCCTGGTGGTGGGTATTGAGGAGGGCACGTTCTGCATGGAGCACTGGGTGTTATGCACAAACAATGAATCATGGAACACTTCATCTAGAACTAATGATGTAATGTATGGGGATTAACATAAGAATAAAAAATAAAAAAAAAGAGTACAGTTATCATGATGAGCATTGAGTAATATATAGAATTGTTAAATCACTATATTGTACACCTGAAACCTCACTATGTTGTAATTTTATTTTGGATAGCAACACAACCAGCCAAAAGATTATATTTCCCATTCTCCTTTCCAGGTAGGGATTATCATGTGATAGTTCTGGCCGATAAGATATAAGTAAGTCATTGAGTTCGGTTTCTTTTTTCTTTTTCCTTTTTTTTAGGTTTCTTAAAAATTTTTTTTTATTATGTTCATTTAGCCAACATATAGTACGTCATTCTTTTTTGATGTAGTGTTCAATGATTCATCAGTTGTGTATAACACCCAGTGCTCATCCCAACATGTGTCCTCCTTAATACCCATCACCCAGTCACCCCATCCCTCCACCCCCCTTCTTTCTGTAACCCTCAGTTTGTTTTCTGGGGTCCATAGTCTCTCATGGTTTGTCTCCCTCTCTGATTTCTTCCCATTCAGTTTTCCCTCCCTTCCCTTGTGGTCCAAATTGTCCTTTAAATTTCATTTCATGATCTGTTTCTTCTCAGTTTTGAAATCAAAGTTATGCTAGTCTTATAAAATGGGTTGGTAAGGTTTCTCTCATTTTCAATTTTATGATACACATGTATGAGAGAGAGAATCGCCTGTTCCTTGAATATTTTTTAAAATTTATAAAAC